AAAAAAAAGCCGCGTTTTAAAAAACGAATCTCGTCTTTCGCCACCAGAGCGATGTCAATGATACCTGAAGCACCGGAGAACCGGAAAACAGTCACGACCGACAGAATGTCCTAAAGTTTCCGGCTTCTTTCCTCCACAAACATATTACACCCGCAGAAAACAACACATTGCAAATTTAAACGCGACCAGCAACACACTGAACAATCGACCCGCGTTTTGCGTTATGTCTTCTGCCTGAAACGTCTGTCTCCAGCTGTACGGGAGGACGAGACTGGCTCACCCGACGGTCTGGTTTTTCTCTTGCAGTCCTGCTTCCCTCCTGCTGCTTTGGTGAGTGAGACGGAGTGAGCCATTTCGTCTCAGTTCTCAATTCCCATCCGCCGGCTTCCGATGCTGAATCTTCAGAGATCTGAACTTTGACCTTAACGCGGCTTTTTCGGCCAACTCCGCCGCATCGCAAGTAAACATACCCTCACAAGTCTAGGCTACGCCTTCTCCCCGGAAGACGTAGTCGTCACGAGTTTTTGCTCTCCTCCTGAGCTCTGTCACCTAGCTTTGCGAATTCATTAACTGCGTGATTCCCATACTCCTCATTTTATTATTATTATTATTGCTGACACTTATAGAGCGCTTTTCTGGACCCTCCACTCAAAGCGCTGTACAGGTCAGGGGGAATCCCACTACCGCCACCAATGTGCAGCCCCCACCTGGATGATGCGACGGCGGCCATAGTGCGCCAGAACGCTCCCCCACACAGCAGCTCTCAGTGGGGAGGAGAGCAGAGGGATGGAGCCAGTTCAGAGAGGGGGGGTTATTAGGAGGCCATGATTGGTAAGAGCCAATGGGAAATTTGGGCAGGACACCGGGGTTACACCCCTACTCTTTTGAATTTTCCCGCACGGGATTAATGAAGTACCCACCTACCTTAGAAAGGCACAATTATTGCCAGCAGCCATATTACTCTACAGCTCCCAGCTGGCAGCCCCCCCACTGGAGCTCAGCAGGTGGGAGCCTGGTCAGTACCTGGAGGGGAGACCTCCTGGGAAAAACTGAGGCTGCTGCTGGGAGAGGTGTGAGTGGGGCCAGCAGGGGGCGCTCTCACCCTGCGGTCCATGTGGGTCCTGATGCCCCAGTATAGTGACGGGGACACT